CATTCTTGGAGACTGCTTAAATATCATTTTGGTCCAAGCTTTGCCAAAGACCCTGGCCAGCCCCTCCCAGGGCACCATGCTTTTGCTCTTAGAACACCCATCACATTTACAAATTTTTTTTTCCTGTGTCTGGTGGGAGCCGAGGGGCTGGGATTTCCTTGTGTCCACTGGTGGTACGGTTTGCCCACTTTGGCCACACAGAGGGCACACATGACGTGGAGGATCTCTTAGCTCCTTTGGAGCCTCCAGACACAAGAGCTGGGTCTGTCTCATGAGTCAGCATGCCTCTCACCACCGACACCATGTTGGGTTTCAGTGAGCAGTTTGCATCCTTCAGTATGGACAAATAACGTAGCTCCCTTTGGGACTTTTCCTGCAGACTTACATGGTTCCTCCTGTTTCCTAGGGTCTCAGCGAGATCAGTGACACTTTCCCCCATGTCTGCTGGACATGCTGGGGTGGCTCGGGGCAGTGACTCAGGAGGAAAAGTTGTGGAGGGGGCTGTTGGTGATGGAGGTCTTGGTGAAGGAAAATGGGAGAGGGGCGCAGACTTGTTCTGGAATTCAGTGTGTAGTCTCTGGGTGTCTCCCCAGTGTCCATGAGAAGTCTGGGAGCAGATGCTGGCCCCAGGACCACACGGGGGGTCCCTGGACGTGAGAGGAAGGCAGACTCTTAGCCCCCAGGGAACTTTTGTTTTTTCGTTCCTGTGTTTATTAACAGCTCGAGGAGGGCTCAGCTATGGGTACCTGCCAGGGACTCCCTATCACCTGTCACCCAGTGCCCTCACTAGGTACCTGGCCCTGTACCACGGTGACCCCCATTGATGGGTTTTTACATCCCATATCACTAGCCAAGGGGTGAGTCGTCTGCAAGCAGGGGTGTGTGTATGTCCCTGACATGCGTGTTGCCTGGGACATTCAGGGCAGAGGGGTCAGGGCTGAGGCTCTGCAGGTTCGCTCTCTGTCCCCTTCTCTCTCTGTCTTTGGTGGTTCGGCTTGACTTGAACGTGTGTGAATATGATGTAATGTGTTCGTCGTGAGAGCAGCTTCCTGCAGCACCGATTTGCAGTCAGGCCCTGGGGACGCTGAGCCTGCATCCCGGTCAGGAGCTCCTTTTGGAGATGACTGCCTCCCCAGCAGGAATGAAAACGAGAAACCACCCTAGTGGTCGGATCGCACATGTCAACGTCTGATTCTGTGAAGCGAGGCTGAACACGGCAGGGCGACGGGATGGCACTGTTTATTCCCAAGAGAGTGTGGCTTTCTAGCGTGTGCATGTCCCTTGCCAGCCTGTCCCTGCAGCCACCAGCTCCTCAGGGGCCAGAGTCGCTACTTAAGTGGAAGGAAATGCCAGCGGAGTGCGTGGAGGCTGGAGTCAAACAACCGTGGCTCCTTCCTACTCTGTCTGCCAGTCTCCTGGGGACGGTGAGGGGAGACAGGCTGATGGCAACCAACCACACCGGGTCCTGGTCAGGGAGAGAGCCACACGGAGGCACCCTCTCCAGTGTTCGCCATCTGCTCGTCAATTAAAACTGAAACGCACGCCACATGCGAGGCTGTTGGAAACACACTTTTCATTTTGATGTGGCTCTTCTGAAGTCAGTGTGTGTGAGAACACATGCTCTCTGTCAACCAAATGATGACACTGCTGGTACTCAGACCACGCTTCTGCCATGCTGGAAAAACAAACGGGGCTGGGGAGCTCTTTGCTCAGTACTCTGCTATCAGATGAAAAAGAAATTCCCATTTAAAAAAAAAAAGCGTTCAACGCCAAAGGGAATTTTTCTCTAAAGTCTGTTCACTCTTCCCCTGTACCCAGCCTCCTTTTTTTTGCTTTTAAGGAAAAGTGCCTGGTGCACGTGCGTTCACGTGGTGTGCCCTTTGGTGTCCCCCTGCTACTGACAGCCAGTGCCTCTCAGCCTGGAAATGTTGCTGTCATATTGCTAGTTTCAAACCGTCGCTTCTGGGACACCCAGCAGGGACGCCCAGCAGGCTGCAGACAGCCCTTCCTGCCCTGTCCTCTCTTCCTCCAGTTGGCCCAGGAAGCAGGTGCCTGTATTAGGCTGGAGTCCCAGCAGAAGACATATGATGTGTCGTCAGGCCCCGGGCGGGCAGCAGGGAAGGTCCCTCTGTCCTGTACATCCAGTTCCTACCTGAAGGGCACTGAGGAGATTCCCACAGAGGAGCATTTCTTCTCTCTTTTTTTCTCCGTTGGAAGTTACCCAGGACATCAAGGAGAGGCTGACGTTTCATCTTCCTCACAGGCTCCCTCCCTCCCTCCCCAGGGCCCTGACTCATCCTCTGAGAGAGGCAGTGAGAGTGAGCGCAGACAAGGGGTTCTGGACCCAGTGAGTGCGTCCTTGCAGAATGATTTTTTGCTGGGATGCGAGGGCAGCCGGGCCCCCTGCCCAGTGAGGCCTGAGCTTTCCTCTCCCATAGTAATGCCACTGCCTGGCCTGGGAGGGGAGCCTGCCCTGGGCCCCCCATTGCCCGTCACCTGAGCTGGCAGGATGCCTCCACGAAGAGAGACCCCTCCCCCATCTGCCTGTTCTCAGGGGGTCTGGGCAGACCCCGTACAGTTCCTGCCACTACAGATCCTGCCTGAATTTCTCTCTTGCTTCTAGCAGTGTGTGCCTGGGGCTGGAGCGCAGCCAGGATTCCAGCGATGTGACTTGGCCCAGCCTGGACGGTCAGGCCCTCAGGAGTGACTCTTCCTCCTCTGGCCTTTACAGATGACTTCTTTTTTTGTATTCTCAGTCATTTTGCTACCCATCCACAGCTCACAGCTGAGAGGGTTGCTCAGCAAACACAGGCATGAGGCAGACTGCCTTTTCCCTCCTCCCTAGTGGATGACATGGAGCCTGAGTGTCTGGCTTTGGGACCAGCATCAAATCTCCAGTCTTGATAAGTTTACAGAGTCCTGTGCCCATGAGTGGTTCTTCTCAGTAACTTTCAGAATGACAGACTGACTTCACATTATAAGCAAACACAATTCAAGCAACGGGTGGTGGGCCTCACTGGTTAAGCCACTGAAAAACCATCAGGCTGCTCTTTGCTTCTCAGCCTGATTGACCACGGATTTTTTTCCTGTTTCTTTGAAGAGGCCAAAGTAGCATGTATTAGTTTGCTATTGCTGTGTAACAAGTCACACAAACATGGCTATTCAGACCACTACCCATTTATTATCTCACAGTTTCCCCTGGTCAGAAGCCCAGCATGGCTACCTGGGTTCTCAGCTGGGGGTATCACAAGGCCACAGTCAAGGCTGTGGCTGGCGGGTCTCTCATCACGAGGCCGTGTGAAGAACACACCTCCAGGGGCACTCAGGTTGTTGGCAGAACTCAGTTTCTTGTGCTTGTAGAACCGAGGTCCACGTTCCTTGTTGGCTGTTGGCCAAGAGTTGTTCTCAGTTTCTAAGGCCACCCCCCTCCTTGTCACGTGGGCTGCTCTGTCTTTAAAGCCAGCACTGAAGTGTTAAATACTTCCTTTGCTTCTGATCTCTCTGATATCCTTTTCTGGTGCTAATCAGAAAACACTCTGCTTTTAAAAGGCTCGCCAGGTTGGATCGTCTCTGTGTCTTAAGGTTAAGCAACTTGAGATGTGAATTCAGGCCACACAGCGCCTAGATTCACATCTGACTGAATAACCAGGGGACAGGAATCCAGGGGTCCAGCTGAGAATTCTGCCTGCCATAGACGGCACGGAGAAGTCCATTTTCGCACTCATTTGATGCTCAAGAAATTTCTATCGGGATTATAATCTCCACTGTTGTCTCGCCAGCGAG